AGGGCCTTCCGCCGAGCCCTTCATCGCGCAAGCCTTAATGAAGACAACACCACGTTTTACAGAGGCAGAAAACTGCACTTGCAACAGCTGCTGCGACATGCTCGAGACACCCGACCTCCACCCAAGTCTCAGCCGTCAGAGGAGCGACGCAACAGACTGCGGGTGGTGTCCTGGAACACTGGAGGCCTGGCCGGCCACACCTACAGAGAGGTCCTCACATGGTTGCAGGGCGAGCATGAGAACAAACGACCGGTAGACCTGTGCGTCCTCCAGGAAACCGGGTGGCATGCAGACCTCGAGTTTACGACCGCCCAAGAAGGCGCCAATGCTGCAGATTGGCATGTGATCCACTCAGCTGGGGAGGGCAAGGACAAATCAGGTGTGATGTGCTTGATCAGAAAGACTCTCCTTCCTGCTGACAGCATCAGAACGGCCACTCTGGTCCCAGGCCGTCTACTACACGTTCGGCTCCTCACCGCGGTGCCCGTCGACTTCCTATGTGTATACCAGCAGGCATGGAACCTGCAGAACACCTCACTCAGGGGTCCCAATAAGACTGATGCTCTGCTCAAACTACGCAGGCGGATATGGGACAAGGTCGACAGATGGCTGGGATCCATCCCACAGCGCAATGGCTGCGTCCTCATAGGGGACTTCAATTCATCGGTCAATGAAGAGCAGCCCGTTTGCGGTGCAGGACTCCCACAGCCAGATGCACCGGGCCATCCAGACCAAGGAGCACTCATGGAGCTACTACGGGCCCACAAATGCTGTGCATTAAATACGTGGGGCAGGCAAGGCTTGGCCAGCCGCACATTCCTCCCTCCTGGTGCTACCTCATCCAGGCTTGGCACCCAGATCGATTTTATCATCACTCGTGGGAGCATGACGGACACTGTGTCCAAGCAAGCCTCGGCCTTTGACGCACCTTTTGTTGCAGTCAGCGGTTGCCGCCATCGGCCCATCCAGGCTTACCTGCCAGCCCCTCGGAGACCTACTACGCAGCAGAGCTCTCGCAGACTCCAGCCACGCCAGGTACAGCATCTACTACGACAGCCTGCCTTTCAACTCCGACTACATCAGCAGGTCCGATCGTCTTTTCATGCAGCAGCCGCCCCAGACTGTCTAGATGAACTCCTGCTCACAGGATGGGAGGAGACGGCCCGGACCTCTCCACCGGCGGCTCAGCCCACAGGTTCAGGCTGCGTCACCGACCACGAAAGCCCTCTCACAAGTCAGGTCAAATGTATGTGGTCTCTTCGCGACCTCCTGCGCCGTTTGGGTGAAGACATCCATACCTGGCGACAGGGCCCCCCTCCTGCTGGTGCTGTGTTTCAGGCCTGGGCCACTGCAACCAGGCTGCAGACTCATACTCGAGCACTCCGCAAGGCATGCCGGAGCCGCAAGATTGTCGCCATTGCGGAGGCGGTCAGCGCAACCAACATACACCAAGCTGCCCGCCGGTTTGCTCCCAAGGCACCGCGACGCCGACTGCAACTTCGAAAAGCGGATGGCAGCTTGCAGACGCATGAGGAGGAGCTACATCAAATCAGTGAGTACTTTACCAAGCTCTACGATGGGACCCCAGGGACTCACCGCCCGTGCCTCACACAGGACCTTCAGATCTCCCAGCGCGAGCTACAGGGAGCCCTACTCAGGCTACAGCCCAGCAAGGCCATGCCGTCTAACAGTGCACCGGCTGCGTTGTGGAAGCACTTCGGCCAGGATGTGTTGCCCCTCATGGAGAGGCTCTTCGCACAATATCTGGTTGCCGGTTGTCAGGCCCTCCCGGACAGGTGGAACCAGTGCGATATGGTCCTACTGCCCAAGCCCAACAAGTCGTTGCAATCACCAGCACATCTCAGGCCCATATGCCTCCTCTCGTTCCAAGCCAAGACTCTCGCAGCAGTTCTTGCAGGCCGCTTACAACCCTATGTCGCCGCCTACCTGACCGACATACCACAATTTGCCTATGTGGCCCAGCGCTCACTGTCTCAAGCCTTGGAGCGTGTCATCAGCCACTGTGCAGCTGTGAGGACCCTGGTGCAGCAACATGTGCAGACACCTCACACACGCCGTCAGGGACGACCCAACCTCAGTCTTTATGGTGGCTGCCAACTGTCACTAGACATCACATGTGCATACGATCATGTGCCCAGATGGGCCTTGGAAGCGGCCGTGAGGGACGCCCACATCCCCGAGACCTTGATCCAGGCTGTGCTTCTCATCCATGACCAAGCCTTTGTCCGCATTACGCACTGTGGGCAGGAGACTTCGTTCAAGTTGCGAAGAGGTCTGCGACAGGGGTGTGGCCTCGCGCCAATCCTATGGTCACTGTACTCCGGCTGGGTCCTCAAACAAATGCACAGCCCACCGATCCTAGATGTCTCCACAGCAGCCACTACCTATGCAGATGACCAGCATTACGCATGGCTCATACGCAAAGGACAGGACCTCGAGAACGCCTATCAGGCTATGAAGCACGTTTTTCGGTGCCTCCTCGACAATGACATGCAGATCAGCGTGGATAAAACAGTGATTCTGCTTGAGCTTCAGGGACCACAGGCCACCAAAGCTCTCGCCAGGTACGTTGTACAGCGGCCCACGGGGCCCCACATGAAGTTTGTGATCCAAGGCGCCAGCATGCTGATCAAGCTGGTGACCCGGCATGTCTATCTAGGAGCCGTCATCACCTACCGACGCTTCGAACAGGAGTCCTATCGGCACCGTCTCAAACTGGCCAAGAACTCCTACACGAGGCTTGGGAAGATTCTGCGCAACCACTCGGTCCCTATGCGTTTACGCCTGCAGCTATGGCAGGGGTGCATATGGCCAGCCATCTTACACGGCCTGGACTGCACTGGCATGCCACAGCCTGAGCTTCAATCCCTCAACACTCAGCTGATCAAACAAGCCAGATCCATTGCACGCTCCCACTCCATGCTGACCAGGGAGACCAACGTGGACCTCGTGCGACGACTTGAGAGCTCACCGACCCAGTCCAGAGGCTCAGAGATGCGATTTGTCGCTGTCGGGACCTTGACGCATTCCTGGGCCCAGCTCTGCAACCCGGTCAGGAGCAGCTACAGTGGCGTGCCCTGGTGAGAGGCCAACTATTTGAAACAAGTGGTAGCCCCTGGGGGGCCTGCCCCTCCCTCACCATCTCCTCCAAGCTGGTCTGTGTTGAGAAAGTCATCCACGAGATCTTTACTTGTGAAGATTGTGGACAGCAATTCGCCACCCCAGCGGCACTTAAGCGGCACCAATTTTGCATGCACATGACTGCAGACCAGAAGGAGGCCAGAACCCAAGAGGTGCAGCAGGCTCGCAAGCACTCACCCATGGAGCACTCGAAGGATGGCATGCCTCAGTGCCGTCACTGTGGATATGCGTTTACCACATGGCATGCCTTCTTCTACCATGTTTCCTCGAGAAGTTGTGAGTTCCTACGGGCCATCTACTCGAGTACCCAAGCGGCAGAGCTCACTCCGCTTCTAAGTGAGGCCCTGGTTGACTCTCCTGCACTGCTTGACCTGGCCAAGGACTGCACATGGCAGGACTTGGCGCTACATGCGCCGGTCCGGGCGAAACATCACCACTGCCCGGAATGTAACCACTGGAATGCCAAACCTCAATATGTTCGACGGCACATGAAGTCTAAGCATCCCGAACATGTCGCTCTGATTGACCAGGTCACTGCAGACATCCAAGTGAGCAACATCAGCATCCACAACCCTTGCCAGTTCTGCGGTATGACCTTTGTTAGACGCGATGCCCACCTTAGGTCCTGTATGGGGGTCTTTTACGGGGTCTACCTCCACAGGCGCCTTGCTCGAGG